TGCGATTGGATATTCCAGGCAAAGTGAAGCTTCACCTCATTTACTAAGCTCTGGAGCAACTGTACTTTCAGAGTACACCGTCTATTCGCCTTTAGTAAATCAACCCCATAGTTTGTGGACATTATAAATCTTACACAAACCAATCAATATTTGCTTATTGGGATTTTTTCTACCAAAAATATGTAGCAAAATGCATTTTAGCCTAAATTTATGCAGAAATTTTTTTTTTTTTTATTGGATATGATATGTTTTATAGCAGAAAGTAACATTTTTGTTTATTTTATTTTTATTGATCTTTTTTTTTATTTATAGAGCAAAAAATAAAAATTATTCAATATTCGCTTATATTGGGATTTTTTTTCCACCAAAAATATGTAGCAGAATGCATTTTAGCCTAAATTTATGCAGAAATTTTATTATTTTTTTTATTGGATATGTTTTATAGCAGAAAGCAATTTTTTTTATTGGTCCTTTTTTATTTATAGAGCAAAAAATAAAAATTATTCAATATTCGCTTATTGGGATTTTTTCTACCAAAAATGTGTAGAAGAATGCATTTTAGCCTAAATTTATACAGAAATTTTATTTTTTTATTTTTTTTATTTTTTTATTGGATATTTTTTATAGCAGAAAGTAAAATTTTTGTTTATTTTATTGGTCCTTTTTTATTTATATAGCAAAAAATAAAAATTATTCAATATTCGCTTATTGGGATTTTTTTTTCCACCAAAAATATGTAGAAGAATGCATTTTAGCCTAAATTTTTGCAGAAATTTTCTTTTCTTTTCTTTTTTATTGGATATGTTTTATAGCAGAAAGCAATTTTTTTTTTTTTTATTGGTCCTTTTTTTATTTATAGAGCAAAAAATAAAAATCAATCAATATTCACTTATTGGGATTTTTTCTACCAAAAATGTGTAGAAGAATGCATTTTAGCCTAAAATTATGCAGAAATTTTATTTTATTTTTTTTAAATTGGATATGTTTTATAGCAGAAAGCAAATTTTTTTTTTTTATTGGTTCTTTTTTATTTATAGAGCAAAAAAAATAAAAATCAATCAATATTCGCTTATTGGGATTTTTTTTCTACCAAAAATATGTAGCAGAATCAGGGGTGGATTGACAGCTCATGGGGCCCCTGGGCAATAGGGGATCATGGGGCCCCTGTGTCCTTGCCCAAACTCAAAAAAGCCTATGAAAAAGGTACCAGGGGCATCTAATGGGGCCCCCTACTGACCCCTGGCCCTCGGCACAGTGCCCAAGTTTCCAAATGGTCAGTCCGCCCCTGAACAGAATGCATTTTAGCCTAAATTTATGCAGAAATTTGATTTTTAATTTTTTTTTATTGGATGTGTTTTATAGCAGAAAGTAACATTTTTAATTTTTTTTTTTATTGGTCCTTTTTTATTTATAGAGCAAAAAAAAAAAAATCAATCAATATTTGCTTACTGGGATTTTTTTCTACCAAAAATATGTAGAAAAATGCATTTTAGCCAAAATTTATACAGAAATTCGATTTTTCCTTTTTTTTACTGGATATGTTTTATAGCAAAAAGTTAAATTAAAAATATTTTTCATTTCTAGCACAAAAAATAAAAACCGCAGAGGTGATCAAATACTACTAAAAGAAAGCTCTATTTGTGGGAAACAGTAATATAAATTCCATGTACAGCGTTGCATGACCGCCCAATTGTCAGTTAAAATAACGCAGCGCCGTATCGCAATAAATTGCCCAGTTATGGGGGGGTGGTAAATCTTTAACATCATGCAACATAGCAGAACAGTAGCGCTCAAAGCTCGAACGTATGCTTTATTCCCCTTCCAATCGTCGCCCACACACGGGGAACGATTGTTTCTGATACGGATAAGGGTGCAAATTAGTGTGTTGACTTTTCCACGGGATTGCCTAAAATTTGAATGACGTTGCGATCTTAAAAATGTGAGCGTTTTTTTTTTTTTGTGTATTTATTTCTACGATTACTCTGAATGATCTCAGAAGCGCCTCAAACCGATGTCATCAACACAAGCCCAAAGGCAACTGACACTGGCCCTTCCAGTATCCCGGCCCTTCCAGTATCTTGGCCCTTCCCGTATCCCGGCCCTTCCAGTATCTTGGCCCTTCCCGTATCCCGGCCCTTCCAGTATCCCGGCCCTTCCAGTATCCCGGCCCTTCCAGTATCCCGGCCCTTCCCGTATCCCGGCCCTTCCAGTATCCCGGCCCTTCCAGTATCCCGGCCCTTCCTGTATCCCGGCCCTTCCAGTATCCCGGCCCTTCCAGTATCCCGGCCCTTCCAGTATCCCGGCCCTTCCAGTATCCCGGCTTCTCCAGTATCCCGACCCTTTCATTATCTCGGCCCTTTCAGTAAACCGGCCCTTCCAGTATCCCGGCCCTTCCAGTATCTTGGCCCTTCCAGTATCCCGGCCCTTCCAGTATCTTGGCCCTTCTAGTATCCCAGCCCTTCCCATATCCCGGCCCTTCCAGTATCTTGGCCCTTCCCGTATCCCGGCCCTTCCAGTATCTTGGCCCTTCCAGTATCCCGGCCCTTCCAGTATCCCGGCCCTTCCTGTATCTTGGCCCTTCCAGTATCCTGGCCCTTCCAGTATCCCGGCCCTTCCTGTATCCCGGCCCTTCCTGTATCCCAGGCCCTTCCAGTATCCCGGCCCTTCCAGTATCTTGGCCCTTCCAGTATCCCGGCCCTTCCAGTATCTTGGCCCTTCCAGTATCTTGGCCCTTCCAGTATCCCGGCCCTTCCAGTATCCCGGCTTCTCCAGTATCCCGACCCTTTCATTATCCCGGCCCTTTCAGCATCCCGGCCCTTCCAGTATCTCACCCCTTTCCAGCCCCAGCCCTTCCAGTATCCCGGCCGTTCCAGTATCTCGGCCCATCCAGTATCTCGGCCCTTCCAGTATCCCGGCCCTTCCAGTATCCCGTCCCTTCCAGTATCTCGGCCCTTCCAGTATCTCGGCCCTTCCAGTATCCCGGCCCTTCCAGTATCCCTGCCCTTCCCGGCCCTCGGCCCTTCCAGTATCCCGGCCCTTCCAGTATCCCGGCCCTTCCAGTATCTCGGCCCTTCCCAGTATCCCGGCCCTTCCAGTATCCCGGCCCTTCCAGTATCCCTGCCCTTCCGTAGTATCCCGTATCTCGGCCCTTCCAGTATCTTCCTGTATCTCGGCCGGCCCTTCCAGTATCCCAGCCCTTCCAGTATCCCGGCCCTTCCAGTATCTCGGCCCCCGGCCCTTCCAGTATCCCGGCCCTTCCAGTATCCCAGCCCTTCCCATCCCGGCCCTTCCAGTATCCCGGCCCTTCCCGTATCCCGGCCCTTCCAGTATCCCGGCCCTTCCCGGCCCTTCCAGTATCCCGGCCCTTCCAGTATCCCGGCCCTTCCAGTATCCCGGCCCTTCCAGTATCCCGGCCCTTCCAGTATCTTCCAGTATCCCGGCCCTTCCAGTATCCCGGCCCTTCCAGTATCTCGGCCCTTCCAGTATCCCGGCCCTTCCAGTATCCCGGCCCTTCCAGTATCCGGCCCCAGTATCCCGGCCCTTCCCAGTATCCCGGCCCTTCCCTTGGCCCTTCCAGTATCCCGGCCCTTCGGCCCTTCCAGTATCCCGGCCCTTCCAGTATCCCGGCCCTTTCCAGTATCCCGCCCTTCCAGTATCCCGGCCCTTCCAGTATCCCGGCCCTTCCAGTATCCCGGGCCCTTCCAGTATCCCGGCCCTTCCAGTATTTCCCGGCCCTTCCAGTATCCCGGCCCTTCCAGTATCCTTGGCCCTTCCAGTATCCCGGCCCTTCCAGTATCCCGGCCCTTCCAGTATCCCGACCCTTGGCCCTTTATCCCGCCCTTCCAGCCCTTCCAGTATCCAGTATCCCGGCCCTTCCAGTATCCCGGCCCTTCCAGTATCCCGGCCCTTCCAGTATCCCGGCCCTTCCAGTATCCCGGCCAGTATCTCTCGGGCCCTTCCAGTATCCCGGCCCTTCCAGTATCCCGGCCCTTCCAGTATCCCGGCCCTTCCAGTATCCCGGCCCTTCCAGTATCTCGGCCCTTCAGTATCCCGGCCCCCAGTATCCCGCCTTTCAGTATCCCTGCCCTTCCCCTCGGACCTTCCCGTATCTCGGCCCTTCCAGTATCCCTGCCCTTCCTGTATCTCGGCCCTTCCCGTATCTCGGCCCTTCCAGTATCCCGGCCCTTCCAGTATCCCGGCCCTTCCAGCCCTTCCTGTATCCCGGCCCTTCCAGTATCCCGGCCCTTCCAGTATCCCGGCCCTTCCCGTATCCCGGCCCTTCCAGTATCCCGGCCCTTCCGTATCCCGGCCCTTCCCGTATCCCGGCCCTTCCAGTATCCCGGCCCTTCCAGTATCCCGGCCCTTCCTGTATCCCGGCCCTTCCTGTATCCCGGCCCTTCCAGTATCCCGGCCCTTCCAGTATCCCGGCCCTTCCAGTATCCCGGCCCTTCCAGTATCTTGGCCCTTCCAGTATCCCGGCCCTTCCAGTATCCCGGCTTCTCCAGTATCCCGACCCTTTCATTATCTCGGCCCTTTCAGTAAACCGGCCCTTCCAGTATCCCGGCCCTTCCAGTATCCCGGCCCTTCCAGTATCTTGGCCCTTCCAGTATCCCGGCCCTTCCAGTATCTTGGCCCTTCCAGTATCCTGGCCCTTCCAGTATCCCCGGCTTCTCCAGTATCCCGACTCTTTCATTATCCCGGCCCTTCCCGTATCTCGGCCCTTCCAGTATCCCAGCCCTTCCAGTATCCCGGCCCTTCCAGTATCTTGGCCCTTCCAGTATCTCGGCCCTTCCAGTATCCCGGCCCTTCCCGTATCCTGGCCCTTCCAGTATCCCGGCCCTTCCCGTATCCCGGCCCTTCCGTATCCCGGCCCTTCCGTATCCTGGCCCTTCCAGTATCCTGGCCCTTCCAGTATCCCGGGCCCTTCCAGTATCCCGGCCCTTCCCGTATCCCGGCCCTTCCAGTATCCCGGCCCTTCCAGTATCCCAGCCCTATGGTACTCACACTGGGTTGTTATTGTCCGGAGAATTTCCAATTCGGACCTCAAGATTCCTTGTCCTTTCCAAACAGCAGTCTGAGCGGCTAGAGACCACGACCACATTCACTTTGTGTTTTTGTTTCAGGTCCACCTTCCACCAGGGCGACCTGTCCGCATTGGTGTGGGAACAGAAGCCATGATACCAGTTTTGGTCATTCACGCCATCAATGGCCTTGTCAGCTAAACCATTCTTAGATGCAGCGCCCCCATAGGTGGAACTCTGCGAGGCTTCCCCGCTCCTGGCGATATTGGTGGCTGAAGAAAGAGAAATAGAAACACAACCCATAATTATATATATTCTACAATGTTTTCCATTTTTCTTCACCGAGAAGGTACCTGTAAACTGCAATATTTGTCAATATTTTGCCTGTGACATTCTGTAATGGGATTCATTCATTGTCTACGTCATTCTTCAATGTTGCTGACCTCTTGCAGCCCACATGATGCATGTATTTCAGTGAAGAGGATGGGCTTCAATGGTCACATGGTGCACGGACACTCACCGGCCACTTTATTTAGGTCCACCTTGCTGGTCCCGGGTTGCACCCCCTTTTGCCTTCATAACTGCCCTCATTCTTGGAGGTGTACATTCAACAAGGTGTTGGAAACATTCCTTATGTCCAAATTGACATGAATTACTGTTCTATCATCTGGAACCAGTCTGCCCATTCGTCTCTGACCTCAACAAAGCATTTTCCTCCACACAACTGCCACGAACTGGATAGTTTCTCATTTTTCGGACCCTTCTTTGTAAACCCTAGAATGGTTGTGCGGGAAAATCCCAGGAGATCAGCAGTTTTTGAAATATTCAGAGCAGGCTGTCTGGCACCTTCAAAGTCACTTAAATCCCCTTTCTTCCCCATTCTGATGCCGGTTGAACATCTCAGGGCCGTGGATAAGGGGGTACCTCCAGTCCTCCTGTAAGGGGCCCAGGCCAGCAAGGGGAGCCCAGACAGCTGGGTGAATCAGATGTAGGCAGGGAGGGTGATCGGCATGGAGGGGGGCAGCAATTACTGCCACCGATCCTCTGTATGGCTCTCTCTGCAGCAGATGAAAGCCGGTTTCTTCTCCTCTCCCTCCCACTGGCTTTCAGCTGCTGCAGAGAGAGCCATACAGGGGATCGGTTCCAGTAATTGTCCCCCCCCCGTCGCACCTATCACCCTCACTGTGCACCATACATTTCTCCCTGCTGCCCAGACCCCTTTGTGTGCCCCCACCCACCGCATGGCTGCCAGATTCCCTCCTCGCAATTATCAGCCCTTTTTTTCCTGAATGAACACAATGAGTGATTGGTATCCATCATTCACTGTGTTCATTCATAATAGAAGCATAGTAAACTTTGTTTTCTTTGGGGGCTCTGTCAGGTTGGCTCTATGGGGCCCTGTGGTTTCTAACAGCAGCCCTGTCTGTGAGTGTATTTATCTATAGGAGGAAGAGGTTTCTGTGCTCACATTTATCAGCCCCTTTTTTTATGAATGAACACAATGAGTGATCAGATATGCATCACTCACTGTGTTCATTCATGATTGAAGCATAGTAAACTTTGTTTTCTTTGGGAGCCCTGTCAGGTTGGCTCTATGGGGCCCCGTGGTTTCTAACAGCAGCCCTGCCAGTAAGTGTATGTATCTGTAGGAGGAAGAGGTTTCTGTGCTCACATTTATCAGCCCCCTTTTTTTTCTGAATGAACACGAGTGATCGGTATCCATCGCTCACTGTGTTCATTCATAACTGAAGCATAGTAAACTTTGTTTTCTTTGGGGGCTCTGTCAAGTTGGCTGTATGGGGCCCCGTGGTTTCTAACAGCAGCTCTGCCAGTGAGTGTATGTAACTATAGAAGGAAGAAGTTTCTGTGCTCACATTTATCAGCCACTTTTTTTTATGATTGAACACAATGAGTGATCGGATATCCATCTCTCACTGTGTTCATTCAAGACTGAAGCATAGTAAACTTTGTTTTCTTTGGGGGCCCTGTCAGGTTGGCTCTATGGGGCCCCGTGGTTTCTAACAGCGGCCCTGCCAGTGAGTGTATGTATCTATAGGAGGAAGAAGTTTCTGTGCTCACATTTATCCGCCCCTTTTTTCCCCTGAATGAACACAATGAGTGATCAGTATTCATCACTCACTGTGTTTATTCATAACTGAAGCATAGTAAACTTTGTTTTCTTTGGGGGCCCTGTCAGGTTGGCTGTATGGGGCCCCGTGGTTTCTAACAGCAGCCCTGCCGGTGAGTATATGTATCTATAGAAGGAAGAGGTTTCTGTGCTCACATTTATCAGCCCCTTTTTTCCCTGAATGAACAAATGAGTGATTGGATATCCATCACTCACTGTGTTCATTCATAACTGAAGCATAGTAAACTTTGTTTTCTTTGGGGGCCCTGTCAGGTTGGCTGTTTGGGGCCCCGTGGTTTCTAACAGCAGCCCTGCCAGTGAGTGTATGTACCTATAGGAGGAAGAGCTTTCTGTGCTCACGGCGGTCTCCCTGTACAGAAGCCAACCAGTCAAAGACAGCTCTCGGTCTGTACTAATGATCAGGAACTGGATGGACCAGCTTCTGATCATGTGTCCAATTCGACAGCCAATTGCAGTGCAGGAAGAAAGGGCCATCACACCCCAGATGAATCACTGGTATCCAGAAATCTCTACAACTATAAGAAGGGGGAAGCCCTAAGGTGGGGACTGTCAATGCCATGGTTGTGGTTATCCTAAACAATAAACATGGATACCAGTGGATCATCCAATGTGTGGTGGCCCTTTCTTCCTACGTTGAGTTTGTCAGCAGGGACTACTCAGCTTTGCCTGCAGCACCTTCACACACAGGCAACTCGGAGCCCCATAAATGGTTCATTTCCCAGCTTTTCTGCCAGGGATTGGATGGCAGCTATGGGTGGAGATATCAACTGAAATTGATTTCCGGTCACTTAAAGTGGTTGTAAATGCTCAAGGTTTACCTTCATGCATTTGTAGCAATACCCCCTTAGGAGTCGCTGAGGTTTTGGGTACCCCTCTAGTCCTGCACAGTCAGGCAACACGCATTTTCTTCAGACCTTGCACACTGGAGACATTAATCAGTCCTTGTTTTATTCATTTTATTAGGGGGCATTTAACTTGGGTGGGGTTGAGGGGTCTATAGGATGCCCAAGTGAACTGTGAACTGAGGACAAACTCCTTAGCAACTATGTGTAAGTCCACAGACAAATATTCAGTTCTCGGAGAGCTCTCCAGCCCTCACCTCAGACCCCAGATGAATTCTCCTCCTCACCCAGCTGCCTGAGGGAATCCCTGGGCAAAGGGGTCCAGAAACTGCACTTTAAAATTCAGGGGTCAGTGGGGGGGCCACATGAGATGCCCCTGGTACCTTTCAGAGGCTTTTTTGGGTGTGGTTTGAGTGTGGGTGAGGACACAGGGGCCCCAGGATCCCCTATTGCCCTTGGGCCCTATGAGTTGTCAGCCCACCCCTGCTCCCAACATAAGGAGTGTAATTTTGATGGTACTGTCAATACATCCTCCCCAGACAATCAAACTAATGTCCAAATCGGGCCTTCTCAACAAGGGTTTCATGGAACCCTAGGGTTCCTCCGTGGGTTGCTAGGGGTTCCTTGAGCAAGGAGCAATTTATGCCACTCAAATAATTTGACACTGGAACCACTGATCTTTTTAGCTATGTGTAGAAGGGGGATTATTCCCACTGGCCACAAAGGCAAGGAACATTTTTCTACTTGATCGTTAAACTAATTTCTTTTCTTAGATACACAGAATATAACTGGATATAACATTTATAGGGAAAGTTGATCCAGGGAATATCCGATTGCCTCTCGGGGGGATCAGGAAGGAATTGTTTTCCCTGCAGGAGCAAATTGGATCGTGCTTTGCTGGGTTTTTTTTTTTTTTGCCTTCCTCTGGATCAGCTGTGGGTGTAGGATTATAACTTTTTTTTTTCTATGGTTGAACTGGATGGACTTTTTTCAGCCAGACTAACTATGTAACTATTATTTATTTATTTATTTATTTCAGGTACTTATATAGCTGTCCATTTTACGCAGCGCTTTACACATATATATATATATATTGTACATTCACATCAGTCCCTGACCCTTGAGGGGCGTACAATCTAAGGTCCCTAACTCACATTCATACATACACATACTAGGGCCAATTTAGACAGGAGCCAATTCACCTACCAGCATGTCTTTGGAGTGTGGGAGGAAACCGGAGTAAACGGAGGAAACCCACGCAGGCACAGGGAGAACATGCAAACTCCAGGCAGGTTGTGCCGCGGTTGGGATTTGAATCGACGACCCGAGTACTGCCAGGCGGAACTGCTAACCATTTAGCCGCTGTGCTGCCCGTAACTATGTAACTAATGCAGTCTTTTTCAAGCAGGGTACCTTGTGGGTTTTTTTTTTGTTGTTTGCTCTCCAGCATTGTAGTTTTAATAGAAGTTTGTCATCCCAGTTGCATCTGACAATTACTGATTGTATGCAGCAAGGTTGCAGTCTAATATGGCCAAGTGTAAGTTAAAACGAGTGACAAAGCTGCAGTTTAGTTAATTAATTGGCTGAGTGACCGTAAGGCAGGGGCGGACTGACCATTTGGAAACTCGGGCACTGCCCAAGGGTCCGGGGTCAGTAGGGACCCCATGAGATGCCCCTGGTACCTTTTTCATAGGCTATTTTGAGTTTGGGCAAGGATACAGGGGCCCCATGATCCCCTATTGCCCGGGGGCCCCATGAGTTGTCAGTCCACCCCTGCCGTAAGGTATAAAAAACTATCCTTAAAATGGTGGATTTTGCACTTCCTGAAGACAATCCTTTGATCAAAACATGTTGAAGTTTGATGATGCAACTTCGGCAGCTTTGGAAGGCATGCTGCCTGAAGGATTAGCCACCATAGTGGCAGCCATTTTTTCACCATACAAGCAACAAGGCTGAATACACCAGGTGCCAGGTTATGGGCACTTCTTTTGTGAGTTTATTTCTTACAGTTATGTCCCCACTATTAATGTCAGAACCTGGGCCTTCTGCGGTAAGTGGCAATGTTTCTTCTTGCTGAGCCACCTGGAATGCTGGACAGCTCCCTTGACAATTATTTGGATGATCCTACCTTGACCTTGTTTGTCATGAACCTTGAACCCCTTGCTCCTCCCTTGAACTTCCTGATATAATCCATGTCTCTGCACTGCCTGTTTGACAAATTATTGTGCTCTCCAGCCAGTATCGTGCTCCTTGCCTTCTCTGCTGTGATCCATATTTTGCTGCCACTCGTTCTTGACCCTTGGCTTGTTTTT